ACTACCCTCTACTACCAAATCTCTATATTCCGCCTTACATAATTTTCAAAAGCTCCCTTAGGGAGAGGGTGTATGGAGTTGGTCATTAACTCCCTCTATGTCTTTTCTGGCTTGGCTGATTTTCCACTCTGTTATTCCATGTGATGATATCTTAAAAATGAAAAATTTGAGACTTGTTTCACGTTGTTGTTTGTGTAACTCGGAGGAGGAGACTGTTGAGCATATTTTCTTTTCTTGCCCCTTTTCACTTTTCATATGGAGGAAGGTTGGCATGTGGTTTGGCACTACTATGAATCCGGAGCGAAATCTTTTGCTTACCACTATGATTTACAATCTGGATCGAAAACAGAAATATTTTTTGCACGTCTGCCCTTACATTATAAGCTAGTTTATTTGGATGGCTCGTAATGATATTATACATGAGGGTAAAGTCATTCAAAATATGATGGTCTTTACTAATATTATTGTCTATATTAATAAGCTTTGGAGGACGGGTAATGCTAAACAAAGCTTCTTTTCGGGCATTAACTATTTTCTTTCTATGGGGTTTGCGGTCATGGCTGAGAGGAGATCTACCTTCTCCCGGTTTTGGTGAGATGGAGGCCCCCTCCCAAGAGTTGGGTAAAGTTTAACACCGATGGGAGTTGGAAATTTAACAGTGCGGGCTGTGGGGGCATTGCTAGGAATTTTGCTGGGAACTGTATTCTTTTCTTTTTCTCCCCCTCTTATGCTGACACTCCTATGGAGGTGGAGGCTCGGGTCATCTTGATGGTTGTCATGATAGCTCACTCTCTTAGCTGGCATTTTATTATCTTTGAATGTGATAATCGCATCTTGGTTGACAATTTTGCCAATGGTGTCGAGATCCCTTGGGATATCCTCTATTAAATTAAGAGGATTAAATGCTTAATCTCTAATATGAATGTGATATGGAGTTTCAATTATCGAGAGGAAAATCAACCAGCAAATTGGCTTGCTATTTTAGGTAGCGCCACTAATAACTGTTGAGTCGGATCTGATCCCCCTCCTTTAAACACTTTGTTGGTTGGTGACAAGATTGACGCCCCATATGTTCGTCGGGATGTCTCCTCTTAGCTTGTTATTATCTGTTTGGCAGTATGGTTTGGCACTGGATCTCATTGGGGTTGTCCTAATATTTCCTTTCCTGCTTCGGGCTCGTTTGACTCTCAGTTGGGGTGGTGGTTGCCGCTCACCTTATATTTATGATAGTACCTACTTTTGGTTTTTTGGTACTTTCATTAAGTGTCAGCTTTTGCACCTGAGTTTAAGAGTTTTATTGGCTTCATTAACGTTGGGTGCCAGCTTTTGCATCTAAGTTTACGAGTTTTATTCGCTTCATTAACTCAATCTCTACTTTCACGGGCCCTCTTTCTTTCCTTTGTCATTATTACTGCAAGTTTTCTTTCGTGGAACTTAGATGTTTGTGATGCTGTTGCCGCCTGGAGCTCTTCACTTGGTCTTTGTGTTCTTTTTTTTTTTTTTTTGGTGTACATCTTTTGTGTGGTTACGATTACTTTGGTATACTGTATTTAATATTTTTTTGAGTACACTTTTTCCGAGCAACCAACCTCTCTTATCTATGCTTGGTGCGCGTGCGCACACACACACACACACCTTTATGTATGTATGGATGCATAGATGCATGTATGTATTCATCCATACATACATAAAGGTGTGTGTGTGTGTGTGCGCGCGCGCACACCAGGCATAGATAAGAGAGGTTGGTTGCTCCACCAACAAGCCCCACTAAGCGCACACACACACCGGGCATAGGTAATTTCTAGACCCGAGTTCGAATCCTCAACCAAACGGGATTTGAATTTGCACATGAGATTGGTTGGGGGGGTCCGCCCTTCTCATATATATATATATATATATATATATTGATGAGTAGTATTTTAAAAAAATTAATTGACTACAAGGCTACAAAGATTTATAATTACTTAAAATTAATAATTAAAAAAATAGAATAAAAATATATTAAATGATTTTTTAACATAAACAATAAAATTTAAATCTTGCCCCAACTATTAACATCCTACAGCAACGAGATTAGGGTTGTCAAAATGACTCTTTGTTTGCGAACAGCTCGTATTCAACTCTCTAAGCAAACAGTTCAACTCGCTAAGCAAACGAGTCGAACACAAACACACCTTTTGTGTTCGAAATATAAATGAACCGAACACGAGCTGAGCCATGGCTCACTCGTGTTCGGCTTGTTTATACCCCTAGATACATCTATTTAAAAATTTTATAAGTGTTTTCTATAATACATATCGCTTTGATAACTCTTTGCATATGATTCCTACTCTTTTATTCATTAATCTATCACGATTGTTTTGCAACATGTGCAACATTCAAACAACGGAACCTTCGACTACTTTATCTCGGATTGTTGCAACATGTGCAACATTCAAACAACGGAACCTTCAACTACTTTATCTCGGATTGTTCTTTTCATACTCAAATTATGAGATCTTATATGAAACTTTGCGTAGAAATGCTACACTATTTATTATTGTTGCGTTAGTATTATTAAGGAAACTATCTTTTGTTTTTATTTTTTTAACTTTTGCTTATATAGTCAGATATATACTTGCATGATAAGTACATCTATGTTTGTACTATAAAGAAGTTTTGATTAAGATACAATCCTTTTTCAGTTCTCTTATTTCTAGCATCGCCATTAACTTACTCCCAAGTATTTGAGATCTGATTAATGAATCCTCAATTCCTTTTATTCATTATTGTTGAATGTTCAATAAAGTGCTAAAAACTATTCATGCAAAACGTTTTATACAACTTCTAACCCTGTTATCATTCAATCTAACTATTGTTATTTCCTACTCCACTGCATTAATTTTATACATACATTTTACTGATACATCTTTTAACATTGAATGTACATTCAAAAACCACCAAGTTGTCTTCCACTACCCTTCTTCAACATATGCTTAATTTTGGTTGATTTCTATGATCGATAAGAAAAATCCACTAATCATTCCATGACTGATAGATTTGGAGATTTCACCTTTAGTTTGCCCTTTATTATATTAAGCGACTTTGAACCCACGCTGGCCATTGTGAACGCTTAAGGCACTGCAACATGAGCTACTACTGAATTTTTCTCAATGAGCAAGAAAAAATTTGGCTGAAGCATAAAAGATAGATAATTTGTTTGAATTCAAACCACCAAAACAATTACTATCATAAGTAAAAAAGAGGTACAAGTATCAATACCAAAGTAATGACTCTTATCTAAATGAAGAAGAGAAGCCCTAACACGTACTCTGCATGCGAGGGCGATGGACACTCCAACACCGAATAGAAAGAAGGGCATAACGAAGTCCGCAACAGTCACCCCGAACCACGGCGCGTGGTTTATCGCCGGAAACGCTCCGCCGGCATCGTCTACGAGAATCATGAGCTGCGAAGAAGCAAGGCATTGGAATTTACTGGATATTAGAGATTGCAATAAACATGTATACAATTCTATTAAAATTACAGCAACTGTGAGGCCGCGAAAGACGTCAAGAGAGGCGAGCCGCTGGTTTGGACCAGAGGGCTTCGCTGAATGGCTCACAGAGATGACAGGCGCAGGGGGAGGAGAGTGGTGGTGGTCCGGGAGAATCTCCACTTCCTCCGCCGAAGCAACGCCTCCGCTGCTACTGCTGGCCGGCGCCGAGCGC